CAGCCCCCCCCCCCAATAACCCCCCAGCCCAGCCCCGCTGCCCTCATCCAGCCCTGCTTCCGGCAGCTGGTTCTCCCGCCCACCTCCTCCTGATTTCCCCCGTCTAGCCCTGGTTCCACTCCCTGCCCTTCCCGAGCGCTGGACAGCCCCACTGCCCCCAACCCTGCTTCTGCCCGCCCACCCAGATCTCTGCGGCACAGCCCTGCTGCCCCCAACCCTGCTTCCACCACCTGCCCGCCTAGATCTCTGCGGGACTGCCCCGCTGCCTCCAATCCTGCTTACGCTGCCCAGATCTCCGCGGGACAGCCCTGTTGCCCCCAGCCCGGCTTCCACCGCCTGCCCAGATCTCCACGGGACAGCCCCGCTGCATCCAACCCTGCTTCCGCCAGCCACCCGCCCGCCCACCTACATCTCTGTGGGACAGTCCCACTGCCCCCACCCTGCTTCCGCTGGCCGCCTGTCTCCCCCCATCTCCATGGGACAGCCCTGCTGCCCCCAACCCTGCTTTCCGGCAGCCGGTTTCCTCCCCCACGCGCACACCACCTCCCAGCCCGCCCCACTCTGCTCCCCGCCTGGCAGCCGCACTGGCCCATAGTTTGGGAAATACTGGAATAGAGAGTATGCTCATGAAGTTTGTAGGTGACAGCAAGCTGGAAGATGTTGCAGGCACTTTGGAGAACAGAATTAGAATTCAAAATGACCTTGACAAATTGAAGCATTGGTCTGAAATCAGTAAGATGAAAGTCAGTAAAGATAAGTGCAAAGAACTACATTTTAAGGGGGGGAGGGTGATCAAACTATAAAATGGGGAGTAACTAACTAGATGCTAGTATGACTGAAAAGGATCAAGTGCTTATAGTGGATCACAAATTAAAAATGAGTCAACAATGTGATGCAGTGGTGAAAAAGGCTAATTCATTCTGGGGTGTATTAACAGGAATGTCATATTGAGTCATGAGAGGTAATTGGTCCACTTGACTCAAATGGAGTACTGTGTCCAGTTCTGGGAGTCACACTTTAGGAAATGTAGAAAGTGGCAGCAGAGTCCACAGAGACACTAAGGGTGAGTCTAGACTAGCAAGATTTTGCGCAAAAGTGGCTGCTTTTGCGCAAAAACTTGCCAGATGTCTACACTGGCCGCTTGAATTTGTGCAAGAGCACTGACTTTGTAATGTACAAAATCAGTGCTTCTTGCGCAAATACTTTGACGCTCCCGCTCAGGGATATACCCTCTTGCGCAAGAATACTTGCGCAAGAGGGCCAGTGTAGACAGGCACCTTAATTTTTTGCACAAGAAAGCCCAATGGCTAAAATGGCCATCAAAGAGTCTCCCTCACCCAGGTGAGTGGTCAAACTGCTGGGGTGCGTCTACACTAGCAAGATTTTGCGCAAAAGCAGCTGCTTTTGCGCAAAAACTTGCCAGATGTCTACACTGGCCGCTTGAATTTGCGCAAGAGCACTGACTTTGTAATGTACAAAATCAGTGCTTCTTGCGCAAATACTTTGACGCTCCCGCTCAGGGATATACCCTCTTGCGCAAGAATACTTGCGCAAGAGGGCCAGTGTAGACAGGCACCTTAATTTTTTGCACAAGAAAGCCCAATGGCTAAAATGGCCATCAAAGTTTTCTTGCGCAAAAGGGCATCTATACTGGGCACAGGTGCTTTTGCGCAAAAGCACTTTTTGTGCAAAAGCATCTGTGCCAATCTAGATGCTCTTTTGCGGAAACACTTTTAACGGAAAATACTTTTCCGTTAAAAGTATTTCCGCAAAATCATGCCAGTCTAGACGCAGCCCACGTTTATGGCAGGCTTGTGTACAGTAGAGTGATACCCCAACTTGCTGTGCACTAATTACCAAAGGGACAAGTTCTAAATGTATCCTGAATATAAGCTACCTTCTGAATAAACAATATTTTTCTGGGGTATGACATTCAGTAATCCCTTATAATTTGAGGTATTTTACCTTTTGAAGCCCATTTTCTGTTGTTAGAGCTCTGAAAAGAACTTACAAGTCTTACATCTAATATTCAAGAAAAAGAAATTTAAATCATAGAAGAAATCCAATTTTGAGATCACACTTTCATAGAAATTAATACTGGAATTCTTATTATCAGCAATATTGCCTAATTTCTTGAATATTCTCTGCAGTCTGTATCCATCTCCAGATTAGATATAAAAACTCAGAATAAACTCCAACCCTCGCAAAAATCAGTGGGTTTTTTATTTCCTTGTTTTTGTATATAACTGAGTTGTTTCTGAAATGCTTAAAGCCTGGAGCATTCCCATATATTACAGTTATTCTGTTTCCTCCTGTCATAGCACAGTTGGGTACAATCACTCAGCCCCCTTTATGGAAGAGACAGGAAATTTTCCAAAGGATTGCTTTAGGATTTAGGTGTCTCAAGATTAATTGAATAAGTTCAGTCTGCATTAATAAAAATATTTCAACATTTGAGGAACTTAGCGTTTCGATTACTTTAAATTATTTTGTAGTTCTAAAAATGGATGTATTAAAAAGGGGATTATCTAATAGAAGGGGGGAAGTGATCTTGCCTCGGTAAAGGCCTACTGATGAAGTGGGGGGAAGAAAAAGGGGGCAGCTGCCCCAGGCCAGGTAATTCAAATTCTACAGTAATGGTGGTGGCAAATAGAGCACTGGGTCCTTTAAACTGCTGCCAGAGTACCACACCATGTGCTTTAAGCATCTCTCGGGGCCCAGCATAGTGAGCCCTGGGGTGGCACTGAAGGCTGGCTCTGCTGTCCTTAGCCCCACTTCTTCCGCCCAGGCCCCTGCTCTTTCTGGGAGCATGGAGCTGCGCACATCCCACCCCGCCTTGTTCACGGGGCTGACAAGTCTGTTGGCTTTAAGAAGGATGTGAAGATTCTGGAGGGAGTTCAAAAGAGGACCGTAAAAATGACCCAGAGACTAAAGAACAAGCCTTATAATGGAAAGCTTAAGGAGTTCAACTTCTTTATCTCACTGAGAAGGTTGAGAGGTGGCTTGATCTGTCAGTGGTGGCTTTTCAACCTTGCTGACAAAAGCATAGCAAGATCCAGTGTTTGGAAGCTGAAGTTAAAAAGTTCAACCTTGAAATATAGGTAGTTTCCTAGCAGTGGAAGTATTTACACATTACAAGGGGTTACTTGGGTGGGATGATAAGAGGTCGAGTTCACCATTGTTTGAGGCATTTAAAAGAAGTTTAGAGATCTTTCTAAAACATGTATCTTACTTCCAGAATAAATTCTGTGGCCTGTGTTTGTGCTGAATGGTCTTATGGTGGTCCTTTCTGTGATTTTTTCCATTCATCCCCTTCATCATGGGCTGGGGGGAGAACAAGTTTGTCTGCATTGCCTTTCTCATGCTCACAACAGTGGCAGCTCTGCACTAAGATAATTACTAATCAAATCTTACACTTCAAATGATTGTCTGCGGGGATTAGGAAGCAGTTCTTTTCCCTGAAGTACAATTAGCTAGATGTATTCTGTGGGGGTGGTTTTCCACCTTTCCTTGAAGCATTATAGATTGGCCACAGTTGGAGATGGGACAGAAAAGGGGGTGGAACAGTGCTCTGAGCTGATGTAGAGAATCCTTTTTCTTAAGTGCCCGGCTGGTGTACCTTGCTCACATGCTCAGTGTGAAACTGATAACCAGATTTGGGGAAAGGAATACATTTCCTCCTAGTCAGATTGACTAGGATCTTAGGGTACGTCTACACTACAACGTTAATTCAAACTAACTTAGTTCAAATTAATTAAAAAACTAGTTCAAATTAGTGTTTTGCTAATTCGAACTAGCATGTCCACATTCAGTGGACCCTGAACCAGGCTTAAGGATGGCCGGAAGCAGTGCCGGCAGGGCATCAGAGGAGGACTTAGAGCATGGAGATGCTGTGTCAGGCTAGCCGAGGGCTGTGCTTAAAGGGTCCCGACCCCCACCCCGGACAGACAGTTCTCAGGGGGGCCCCGCTTGCAAAGCAGTCCTGGTTTGGATTGCCCGGAGTACCCACACTGGGCACATCACAGCACTTGGCCATCAGACCGGCTGCACTTGCTGCAGGCTGCCATCTCGGGAGAGGGGGTAATTGGGGGGCTGCAGGAGAGCTTCCACCCCAAAAGCCCGCAGAGCCAGCCCATTCCTCCCCATCAGGGGCGCATACCCCATTCCTCCCTCACCTCCTTCCACTTCCCCTTCCCTAGCCCCTCTTCTTGATGTACAAAATAAAGATAACATGTCTTCCAAAATGGAATCTGTCTTTATTGAACAAAACTGGGGGAGACTGGGAAAAGGAGGTGGGAGAGGGGAAGAGAGAGGGTGGGAGAGGGGAGGGCAACTAAAATGATCAGGGGTTGGGAACAGGTCCCATATGAAGAGAGGCTAAAGAGACTGGGACTTTTCAGCTTAGAAAAGAGGAGACGGAGGGGGGACAGGATAGAGGTCTCTAAAAGCAGGAGTTGGGTGGAGAGGGTGCATACAGAAAAGTTCTTCGTTAGTTCCCATAAAGAAGGACTAGAGGACACCAAAGGAAAGGAATGGGTAGCAGGCTTCAAACTAGTAACAGAAAGTTCTTCTTCACAAAGCAAAGAGTCAACCTGTGGAACTCCTTGCTGCAGGAGGCTGTGAAGGCTAGAACTAGAACAGAGTTTAAAGGGAAGTGAGATCAAGTCATGGAGGTTGGGTCCATGGAGTGGTATTAGCCAAGGGGTAGGAGAGGAGTCCCTGCCCAAGGTTTGTGGAAGGCTGGAGAGGGAAGGCACGAGACAAATGCCTTGGTCACTGTCTTCGGTCCATCCCCTCCAGGGTCTCTAGGGTTGGCCGCTGTCGGCAGACAGGCTACTGGGCTAGACCTTTGGTCTGACCCAGGACGGCCATTGTAAGCTCAAGGCTCAGGGGCGGGGGGCTCAGTGGACCCCCTTGATTTTCATGCACACCTGCTCCTGGGTGGCCAGGCTGGCAGCTCTCCTGCCCTAGATGGCCACTTTCCTGTGCCTAGTGCAGAGATCGTGGACGAGGTCCACAATGTCCGCTCTAGCCCAGGCGGGTGCCCGCCTCTTGCGGTCCCGGGCAAGCTCCCGGGAGCCGCCAGGCTGGTCCCGGGAAGAGGGGGAGGGCTGGGGGGCATTGGGTGGGTGGCTCGATGCGTGCCAGGTGCAGGGTCTGCTGCTGGGTGCTGGCAGGCTTGCACCTGGCACGGGCACCGTAGCCAGCCCGTGCCCCTTTAAGGGGTCCGGGGCCGGGAGGGGGGGGGCAGACGAGGTTCCCTGGTGTTGGCCAGAGTGGCCACCAGGGAAACCTGGGGGGGGGTAGCCTCCCACTAGTTCGAATTAAGGGCTGTGTAGACCTTTAATTCGAACTAGTAAGTTCGAACTAGGCTTAATCCTCGTAAAATAAGGTTTTCCTAGTTCGAACTAAGCGCTCCGCTAGTTCGAATTAAGTTCGAACTAACGGACCGCTAGTGTAGCGCCTATGAAAGTTAGGTCGAACTAATGTCCGTTAGTTCGAACTAACTTTGTAGTGTAGACATACCCTTAGTTTTTCATTTTGGCTTTCTCTACAACAAAGAATGTGATTTACTATTAGGTTCATATAGGCATATCTACTTTCCATTGTAGAAGCCATGGATGACTGCAGATGAAGCAGATGAAATTTTCTTCTGCAGAAGCCTGTTCGTGCTTCCCTATGGGGAGGTTGTCAGGAATGGATCCTCCAAAGGACTCTCTTAAGTTAGAAAGCGGCCTCAGGAAAAGTGAAGTATGCCACAGTTTACAGTAATGGGGACAGATTCTGTGCAATTTT